CCGTCATTCTCCCTAAAGTCAATTGAAAACATTTTGAAACGAACACTCACCAATAACTTTTTTTTAAAATATGCCTACCTTTAAGTATTAATAATATTTATGCCAATTCATGGTAAAAACGAATATACATCAAAGCACCTTTTTGGTGAAAAGAGTGATTGACTCATAAACAAGAGAACAATAGAAACAAATAAAAAAAAAAGGCAAAAGCAAGACACTTACATACAACAACTAGCACAGAGATTGCCAATCATCTAGGCATAGCTTCAGTGAAACAGCTCTAAGAAGACAATTCATCGATAGCTAGTTTATGTGCCACCCCATTAGCAGAGCAAGGCACCCAACAAAAATCAAAAGATCTTCCTTGAATCAGTTTCCTTAAATCCATGCATAAAAGCAATAAATCACAGTGGCAGTTCAGATCAGAATCAAAAAGATTGTCTATTAGAGATTTACAATCTGATTCAAAAACCCATGCTTCCAAATTTAAATTAATTGTAGTTTTCATTGGTTCAAATAAGGCTTTGGCCTCTGCAATCAAAGAAGAAGAAGCTTAGACCTAACCAGCCTTTGCAAAAAGAAATACGCTTGTACAATCTCTAAAAACAAAACCCACTAAAGCTTTCCTTGAATTTCAAAACCCACCATCCACATTTGCTTTGACAAAACCCGCTTTTGGTGGAACCCAAAAAGATGAAGTGATCTTTGAACACAACTTAGTTCTTGAAGAGCTTTCCTATCTCAAAGGCAAGTTTTGAGATCTCTCCACTATAAATCTGTGAATAGAAGAGATGACATCCAAATGATTAAAATCAAATTTTTTTCATAATAAAAATCATTCCTATCCTTCCAAATTTCCCATAAGTAGATAGCACAATTAGCTAGGATATCAGAATTTTTTAATCCGATCTCATTTAACAAAAGCATGAACCAACTATCAAACCTATGCATATGGTTAAGTTGTTGTAAGTCAATCTCGATGCTTACCCCTAACTAGATGCACTTAGATTAATCACAATATACTAGAGCTTGCAAAATGGATTCAGCATGATGGTTACATCTTTCACAGTTGGAGGATGAAGCTATTTTTCTATTAAACAGATTATCCTTAACTTCAATGTTGTTCAACCAACATTTCTATAGAAAATTTAAAATTTTTTGCTCTACTTGAATCTTCCAAATTGCATTCCATCCTTCATGAGTGATCATTGAAGTCTGAATTGCAAAATTCCTATTACCCCGATTTTCAAAAGCTATTGAATAGGTTGACTTGACTGAGAACAAACCCTTCTTGTTTGGATTCCACACCAATCTGTCTTCCCATAGATTTCCAGCAAGGTCAATGTGCATAATTTTTTCAGCAAGTGTAGGGGTGAATAAAGAGTTTAGTTTTTCAAGGTTTCGTTCCCTATTTTCCTGGTTTATGAGGTCAGAAACCAAGTCAATGTTGTCTGGCCTTGGTTTTGGACCTACGGGCTTAAAACCATTAACATCTGGAATCCAAGGGTTGTCCCAAATTCTTATGTTAGTTCCTCTATTAATTTTCAAAACTACCCCTTTCACAATCACACCCCTCCCTTCCAACACAATCTTCCACCCCTAAGATTGCCCTCTTCTACCTTTGGCCTTTAAGAAGTGATCATTTGGGAAATGTTTAGCTTTCATGGCTTGAGCCCAAAGGCTAGAAGAGTCAAAACAAAGCCTCCAAGCTAATTTTGAGAGAAGGGCAATATTAAAAGTATGTGAATCTCTAAAGCCCTGCCCCCCAAAACAAGGGTTCTTACAAATTTTATCCCAAGACACCCATCTCACCTTTCTTTTATCTTCTAAATCCCCCCACCAAAAGCTTTTTTAAACCTTACTAATGTTGTCACAAGTTTTATTTAGCAACAAGAAACAAGACGTACAATTGGTAGGGATGGTTGTGATTACTGATTTGAGCAACACTTCTTTCCCAACTTAAGAGAGAAGAGCATTCCTCCAGCCCCTAGCCTTGTTTGCAACTTTTACAATTAGATGTTCAAAAAGTTGACACTTGCATCTATTAAATGATATGTTCCTAAATAATTAAATGTATTATCTATCTTTCTAACATAAAGTCTATTTACCACCAACCCTTTAAGTTTAGGATGCATGTTGGGACTAAAGAAGACTTCGGGTTTTGAATAGTTCACTTGTTGGCCAGAGGCTTTCTCATAGGAGAAAATAACCTCCAATAATGCTCCTCCTTCTTCCAAATCAGCCTTAGCAAAGACATAGCTATCATTTGGAAGAGAGAGAGAGAGAGAGAGGACTGGAGCTTACTTACAAATCTTGACACCAGAAAGCCTTTTAACTCTAACTAAGCCATTTAATAAAGAGGAGAATACATCAGAGCATAACTAGAATAAATAAGGGGAGAGAGGATCCCACTCTTAGCCCTCTTTGTGGCCAAATTTTCTTCGAGGGAGAGCCATTGATTAGAATTTGGTAGGATTCCACTCTACACTATCATATGCCTTACTCATCCAATTTGATTGTCATCCATCATTTTTTTTATTTAGATGTCTTCATATGGTGTAAGACCTCATGAGAAATTAGGATGTTGTCAGTGATCACTCTCCCTTGAATGAAGGCACTTGATTCTCAGAGATAATCTTTTCCAGTTTCCCTTAGTTTATTTGCTAAGATTTTGGCTATTATTTTGTAAACAGAGTTATAAAGGCTTATAGGCCGAAAATGCGAGGTTGACTTAATGTTTTTTTTTATTTTGAGAATTAAAGTTATAAAGGTGGAATTTATTTCAGAACTCAATTTCCCTTCCTTAAAAAAAATCCCCAATTTTTTTATAATGTCTTCTTTGACCAGGCTCCAAAACTTTTGGTAAAAAAGATTGGGGAATTCATCCAGACCTAGAGCTTTCCTCAGAGCCATCTAAAACAAGGCTTGGTGAATCTCATCCTCAATTACCTCTCTCTACAGATCATCTTCTTAAAAAATTACTAGATGAATATTGTTGATAGCCAAATCCACATCCGTAGGATTGGAGGTGGTAAAGATTTCTTCAAAGTAATATGTAAAGATTTTTTTTAATATCATCTTCACCTTCCATTCATTCCTTAATTTTAGGATCCTATTTCTAACTCTCCTCCTAATTGTAGTATTATGCAAAAATCTAGTATTTTGATCCCCATACATTAACCAATTGACTTTGAATCTCCTGCCCACAAGAACCCTGCCCATGCCTACCCACAATACACTACTCCCCGTGAAATGGGAACATCTCCCCCTGCATAATACTATGTAGAGGATGAGATGTTCTCCATGTGCGGCTGCGATAAACATGGGTAGGAGATCCGGACTCTAACCAATTCACTCTAGATTTTTGGGCCCACATTATTTCCTCTCATATCCAACTTTTTTCCTGCCTCTTTCATGGCTGGGAAGTTAAAATCAGAGCCATGTTTATTTTTCTCTCTTTCCAATGATAGTTTTGCTTCCTTAATTTGACTTTGCACCAAATTCTTCCTTGTTCCACTTGATCAAAAGCCCCCTCAGCCTTTTCCACTTCCACCTCACATACTTGCTCCCTCCACTCCAACTGTCTCTAATAATTTCCTCACATTTACTATGAGTCAACCACATTTCTTCAAATCTAAAAGGTTTTTTCCTTTTACTTCTAACCGGGTAAGTATTAAGATAGACAGGTAAATGATCAGACCCATAAGACATTTGAGAAAAGAGTACAACATCAAGAAAGAGTTCTCTCCAACTGGTATTACAAAGACCTCTGTCCAACTTGGCCTTAATACATCAAAGAACAGTACGGTACCATACATATTGAAATATGAAAGATTGACTATTCCATTGGTGTCACACGCACCATGCATTTGTAACAGTTGTTTCTGTTTTAAAAACAAAATCATGAAAAACCTTTGTTTATATAGGATAATTCAAAGCAATGTTTAAAAAACTGGATTAGACCGGTAGAAATGTAACAAAGGTGAAATTTAATCATACCCCAAAACTGGACTAGATTGGGTAAAAATTCGACAAAAACCACCATCCCGACCAATTAAACTAGAAAATCGACAAACCAATCCATTTTTTGAATTTTTTTTATCACATAAATGCAAACTTCTAAAGGCTATAAACATTGAATGTCTGATTGGGGTGACCTTAGTTTTAATTTTGGGTGCTTGTCCCACTACTTTATCAAAAAACACCTTTTTTGGCCTCAAATATTAATTTTTATTATAAAAAATAAATCTAAAATCAGAAATATGTTATTAAAGAATATATTATTCTTTGAATATATACATATAATTAATATTTTTATGCAAGTATTTTAAAACCAAACCACACAGGGAACCATTCTGGGTCCAGTTCCCAAGTCGAACAGTCCAACCATCTGGTCTAAATGGACAACCCACTCTGACAAAAAAATTAAAAATATAAAAAAAACCTAAAAAATGGTAACAATTCACTGACCAAATCAATGGTTTTTGGCCAAATAACAGTTTTGGGGTAAAACAGAACGGACCAGGTGACCAATTCCCAGTTTTTCTGGTCTAACCATCTAATCCAGTTTTGAAAACATTGTTTTATGTTATATCATAACCTGCGAACCTCTCCTTTTTTTTCCGGGTTTGATGCCCAGTCTGGTTCTCACATTGATCCAAATCCAAAGTCCATCTATTAACTAAAAATAATTAATTAAATATTTCGATTAATAATTTTTAATATAAACGAGATTTATAATGTATACAACCATATTTTAACTTTCCTACCATTTTATCTATGTTCCAATAGTTACGACTTAGGACCTCACGTAAACGATTAAAAAAAAGGCTTACATATGTGAGATTTAATCTCGAAATTTTCCTAGCATTTCCACGCATATATTATTTATTCCATTATATCCATGAATTTGTAACCACATCCAGAACACCTAAGCATCTTAGAATACGAATCTCCAACAATCCGTGATACTATCATACAATTTGAATGAAAGACAACTGTTTGGTCAAAACAAAGATCTTTATCTTCCATAGAGTGATCCAGTTAAGAAATGCAATGTGGTTCGTCATTTCTTTTGGTCAAACTTCAAGTACAGGTTAAGAAAAGATTTTTTTTCACTTGGGATGGATCCAGTTACCAGGAGTTCTATTACCCTTTTTTTTCCTGTCGATACGATACCCCCCCCGGTCCACCAACAATCCTTCGAGGCACAAGGAGTGAAGGAACTACCACCAAGATACTCGGACCTTACAAAGAATGTAAAAAAATTCCGCTGTAAACAATCCATGGACCATGGCCAAAGAAGCTGTTAAAGTCAAATACACTTTAAAAAATCAAAGGTCAAGCACATCAGCTACCACTCCCCGTTCCCCTTTTCTTCAACCACGTCCCATCCGAAATACTCCTGGCCCTGGATCACGCTCAACACCCATGTACAATCAGATGAACTAGACAAATAATTACAATTAATGCACTTAAAAAACAGGTCAAGCCTCAACCACTATACCTGCAAAACATGTGCGTTTGAGCCAAAGAAACCAAGATACCCTTTAAATGGGTTTGCATTCGGCTTTTTCAGTGTCCTCATTCTCCATTGCCACCACCTGTAGATACTTTAACAGCACTATTGTTCCGCCCATAAAAGTTCCCCCCACCACGCCTGGAGTGATTCTGACCCCTATCACGGTATCTCGAACCAGTGATACGTGAACCATCAGTTGTTCCTTCAGGCGAGTAACCTGACTTGTTACTGTGAGTCCCAATTGGTTGGTATTCATAATGTGAATTATACCGCCTCCTGTCCCCATTTGCAGGCAGATGATATTGCTTGCTGTTATCCTGCCCTTCTAAACTCCAACCTCCTTGAGACTCTTGGGCTCTGCCAGTACGGCTATTGTGTTGGCCATGCCTAGGCAACCCTGAGGAAGAAAAGGATTGGTCATGCTGCGCATCTGCATCTTTAGGAGCTTGTTCATCTGGGGTAACAAGACCCCGACTTGGGGGTAGTGCTCCTTCCTTGGATGTGTCAATGCCCCTTCTTTCTCTCTTAATTTCTTGACGCCGTATACTGGGTGCATCACCTAAATTGATTTTTTGAGTATCGGATCGATGAGGATGTGCTTGGACCATGGCAACACTTTTACCCTTGTCACTTTGTGATGGTAGATGCTTTCCACCATGGGGACTAAACTCCATTTCACCACCACTAGCCTGAGCTGCAACCTTCTGATCTCCACTGGCCTTGCTTCCTTGCCGATTATGAGCCAAATATGTCTGAGACTTTGGTTGCCAATGGGAGGTTGGATGTTCACCAACCCCATGGTTTTCTCTTGAAGTGATTCTGCCCTCTTGTTGACTCAACTCATTGTTCAATGATAAGTTGTCAACTTTACCTGTGGTTCCAATATGTGAATCTTTGTGATCAACAGGGTTCTGATTAGGACTGACACCCTTATGCCCCTTAAATGGATTTCGCTTCCCTCGACTTGTTCCATGATGATCCTTCATAGCAGTGCCAGTGACTAGTTCGGCTGAAACAGGATTTACAGGAGCACACCAGCTGTCATTATGTTTTGTCTGGCCCTCCAGTGGATGTACCTCAGTCTTCAAGGGCTGATGCTGCTCATTATGTGTCTGAACAGTCTTGCCTAATTTAGAAGGCAAAGATCCATCTTGGGAACTCTGTATAGATGTTTGTTCAGTTGAACCACGTTGACGCCATGCTCCATGTGCTTTACCATGCTTATGAGGCTTACTGTCTCCATTTTTGGAATCAACAGAAAACCCAGACTTCCCAAGGATCGAACCATCAGGCCCAGCACTCTGGGAACCAGACTCTGCTCTACCACTGGTCTCACTGGATGTAGCCTGACTGATTGAGGGAGACAAAGGTGGTGGGAAATTCCCCTGCTGGGATTGTTCCTTGTCCTTGACCACAGGCTTCGGGACGTACCTCTCTATTTCAGCTCTCTTGTTTTTCATCACAGTATTCTGCATTCCATGATCATTCTTAGCTGAAGGAGTATTTGTCTCAACAGTAGTGCTTTGGTTGGCTTCTTCTGAGAAATCATTCCTATTCTGTGATCTCACAGGTGCCCAAACAGCTTCACCAGTATGAAACTTATCTGCAGATCTAGTAGCTTGTGGGTTTCTTGACATCCGACGAGGAGGTTGAGGTTTCCACTGATTGTTGTGTCTAGAATGAGCTTCTTCAGTCGGTAAGGACCACCCTATGTTTGTGGATGGAATAGCATCCAGAGAATATTCTGTAGTTGTGCTCAAATTTGAAGCATGAACAGTCTGAATCTCCGAATCAGCTTCATGAGCCTTAGATTTATCACCTTCAACTGAAACTTTTGCAGGATATCTTTCAATTGGAACCAATGATGGTGAATAGCCAGAGACAGGCTCATCCAGCTTGTGCTTGCTCTTGCTACTCCTGTTGTTTCTCTTCTTCTGTTGTGGCAAGGGATCATCCACTGTATTGGAGCCACTGGATAAGCTAGGATCAGAACCCATGGTTAATGCATTTGTAGAAAGATTAGCTTGACTTACTGGGTCTGCATTGGTTCCAGTAGCAGCCAATTTTTCACTTGTATTCTCCAATGTAATATTTTGCTTTTTCTTATGAACCATTTGCTTGTGTCTGGAAACGCTAGAATCATGAATTTGTGCTGCAGATTTCAGATCAGTAGCCTCAGATGAATCGGCATCCAGTTGCATTGGTAAAGCTAAATTATGTGACACAACATCTTGTGATACAGATTTTTGGAACTCTGGAGATATGTTCTTCGAGATATCAGTTGATTGACCCAGCTTTTTTCTCTCATTCTCATTCAACTGAGCAGCTGCATTAGAGTTCTTACCAGAGGCAGATAATGGTGCTTCTCTTGAGCTGCCTGTGTCACTGGTTGGTAAAGAATGAGTGGAGGATTCTTCTTCCCCATGTTGAATGGCACCACTCAATGACGAAGAATGATCCAGTTTCTTATTCAAACTATCTCCCACTTGTGTCCTCCTATTCAGCTCTTCCAATTTTGCCAGTGCTTTAGCTTTCTGCTCTCTTATCCGCTCTTCTTCCTCTTTCTGAAGTTGTTTTGCTCGCTGTGTTGCTAATTCCTTCATTTTAGCACGCTGCAAACAAGTCAAAACAATATTAATTAACACAAGAAACATCAAAATCATGGAACCATAGAATGCCATAAAGAAAACCTACTTGTGCGTTGTAGTCACTTGGATCAAAAGCAGGTGTCCCATATTCTGTCCCAACCTTCCCTTGAAAATTTGAGCCATGCTTCTCAAGAGCCTCTTGAGAAGCACCAATGCCTTGCACATGAACATCAGGACAAGGCTCCTTAGATGGAACAGGAACTGAAGTCGTAGACACTCCTCCAACAGGAGGCTTCTTTCTCCACTCCTCACCCTCCTGGCTACTAAACCTTCCCTTGCCTCGGTAGTCAGCTCTACCTTGCACACCATTGACTCTCTTGCTCATCTGAGAATTAACTTCCCTTTCCCCAACCACGGAAGAATTCATCATAGTGCCAATAGACACTTGTTCACCAACTGACATGGACATGACTGCTCCACTGGGAACTGCAGAAGAGCCTCCGTCATTAGAGGAAGTGGTACGTGTACTATCACTGGATGTTCTTTCAGCAGATACAACATGCATGCCAGCTTGATTAGTGGAACAGTCAGCCTTGGCATTTGCAACCCTGAACCGTCTCGTTTTGTCATCTCTACTAGACTTAGGACCACCATCATATCCGCCATCCGAAATCCGAGCTTTCGAATTCAAACACTCTATTTTGTCTATTAGAGTGGGATTTCTTCTAGTAGCTAGGAATACAAGTTGACTCTGTTCTTGAACAGCTGCAGTTTCTGGTTTCTTTAACAAACTGTCATCAACTGATCTAGCATTGTTCATCTGTCCAGGCACAACAGGGACTGGAGAAGATCCCCGATTGTCAGTTGCTTCAGCATAAGCTCCTCCCTGGTTGTATGTGACCAAAGAACAGCCTCCATGACCATCAGCAGATTGAGAAGAAAACCCACCAAATACTGTTTTTGGCAAACCAACCACTTCTTCCTTTCCATGATCAGTTCTCTGGTCATTCTCCATTATGATTGATGCCGGTTCCTTTCTTCTATCACCGTGTGGTGCACTTGATATTACATTGTGCCCCATCTTCTCTACATCCTTTTCTTCCCAACCATCATGTTGCTTCAAAAGAACCTTGTATGGTCCTTGATGACCATCTTGACCAGGCTCCACCTGCTCATTGGTCATTGAAGGGCTAGGGTATCCACTGGGCCTCACCTGGTTACCAGACTCAGGGAGGATCATATGGTTCGCATATCTGTTATATACACAAGGACCAGTAGCCATTCCAATGACAGGGGAATCTCTTTCATTTGAGTTGCAGTAGCCTATACGTGGAGGACCATAATAGCCATCATAAGGCAACATACCAGGGTAAACACCAGGTCTAACTGGCAAAACAGGCCGGATGTAAGAATCAGGCATCTGAGGGCGGTAAGAATCTCCACTTTTTGGGTGGTATGCACTTGGACCAGCTCCTGGCCGTGGACCTGGCTGTGAGTTGGCCAGAGCCCTAGCTGAAACCTGTGGATGGTAATAGGCAAATGGTTCAAGGGGAAAGCTACCAGGAGGGCCCGGGGTTCCATAAGGGGGACATCCAGGAGGTCCCCTATACCAAACTCCATCAGAAGCATTACGTACAGGAGTACCATGCCAAGGGTCAAGATGCTGAGGTGGCATACCAGGATTAAGGTATGGCTGAGGATCCCTCTCCCACTTTTCCATGCTAGGTGGGGCACCATCTCCAACATATGAGGAACCATCAGTATTCCAGGTATTTACAGTTGCCCTCCCAGCTTTCAGATCAACAGACTCACTTTCTGTGCAAGACAGCAAGCAGATGCATTTCAATCAGATAAGTGTAGCTTTTAAAGATGCATTCCTCGAAAAATAGGTGAGAAAAGGAAGATTTATTAGGAAACCTTGAGGAGTTCTGATAACTTCTATTTCTCACATATTTTCCAACAAATCAAATGCAGATCAAATAACTTATACCCACCAGTGGGAGAAGTTCCTGAATCATCTTTTGGTGTTGCTACCCTGCCAGAAGCAGAGACAGGACGCCCATGAGAACTGTGACCTGCAATGGAGTTGACCAGAATATCAAATATCAAGACAACATTCATATAGAAGTAACCATCTCCACAAATGTACCAACTGGTCCGGTCACAATTTAAACACTTCCAAGCCATCACAAAGTAAAGTCAGCATACCAACGGAGAAAGGCATTACATGCATAATTGCACGTGTAGACAATGTCATCAAAATGCATAGTTCCAGTCATCATATGAAGAATATTGATAGAGGAACATTTATCATGTACATGGCATTTTCTTTTCTTTCTTGTTTTTGATTATTAACATTATATGCATGATAGAACATAAAAATGACTCACCATGGTGATAATACTATACCTTTGGCAAAAAATATAAAAAAAAGGAGTGGCATCATATCTATGTGCATAATTGATGCAAGAAACCAAAGGGAATATATAGTTTTCAAGGCGCCAAGGCGAGGCTAGGTGACAGGGGGTGTTGCCTAGGCGATGGATTTTTTATGTAAAAACTAAAAATATAGATCCTAGGGTAGTTCCCTAGGCATAACCATATTTCCTTAATAATTATTAATATTTTTCATAAGAAAACTATAAAGTTCTTGTTTAAGTACAGAAAATCAACATATTCGTGAGAAGAAAAAGAAGAAAAAAAATTGAAAAAAAATATATACAGGGGTGAACCCTTATTTTTGTTATAGGAAAAGAAAAGAAAAGGTAGAAGGAATGGAAGATATGGAAGAAAAAGTAGAAAATAATTTATCTAAAAAAGTAGAAGAAGAAGAAGATATGGAAGAAAAATTGTTGATTAGACAAAATTTTAAGTTATACCTTACTTATTGGTTCAGGTTTTGAAGTCTTTGGGGGCTCAATATAGCATTTAGCAATGCTTGTGTTGATTAAACCTTACAAATAAGAAAATAATAAAAAGAAATTAGTATATAAGAACACAAAATGAATATTTTAGTTTAATAATGTCTATTTTATAATTATAATCTAAAAACATACAGAATAAAAAAGTATTTTATAATCGAAGTACATAATTTCTTGGCAATTAGGCAAGGTGAGCCTCCAAGGGCGCCTTGTCGCCTTGACAACTATACGCACTCAAATTGCTACAATACGGTTGTTCATTGCCCCCAAAACCCCCAGCATCATCATCATCATCTAAGTACTGTCCCAACTATATGGAGTCGGCTACATGAATCCGGTTTGGTAATGCAGGATAATAAAAAAATTGTGGTTTTCTTTGGTTTGGCTTCAGAAAAGATCATGTAAAGACCGGAAACTCATAACATCCTTTACGTTTCCAATAATGAAGATAAAGCTTAAAAAGCCTGTTTAGTAACTTTACTCTCCAGACTCTTGCCTTTGGTCTCACAAGAATGGAAAATGATCAAAGAGTATCTTTCAGTAGTCTCATACACAATACTCTGATGAGTTAGAAAGATTCCCGATAGAATGGAAGAACAAAAGAATAAATTGAGGGGGAAAAGACTTCAACTTAAGTTCCTTATTTTTTTGGTCTTTTTTGAACTTCAGCTTCTTCTGGGCAGTGGCTCTCAAAGATCATATTACCAAACTACAAAAGATTAATCTAAACCTTTGGGCAGTGGCTCTCAATGATCAAAGAGTATCTTTCAGTAATCTCATACATAATACTCTGATGAGTTAGAAAGATTCCTGATAGAATGGAAGAACAAAAGAATAAATTGAGGGGAAAAGGCTTCAACTTAAGTTCCTTATCTTTTGGTCTTTTTTGAACTTAAGTTTCTACTGGGCAGTGGCTCTCAATGATCATATTACCAAACTACAAAAGATTAGCATACCCTTTATGGATTTGAATATCCCAGCCACAGCCTAAGCAGACAAGGTCTATTAGTCTATATCTAGATAAATGAAGATAAATAAACTCCGTAGAACTTTCATGGTGTTATATCAGAAGCCTGTGGCAGCAAGGGATAAGGAGGCTGGTGGAGTTTTTCTGGAATTGCATGTGGAAGTGTTGTTCATGGTATGCTCGGGATAAGGGATGTAAACGGGTCGGTTTTGGCACGGGTTAGACCTCAACCCAAACCCGACCCACCTTAAAATACATAATTTCTGAGCCTGACCCAACCCGTAGCATTTCAATTGTATTTTTCAACATGCTTTGAAGACCTAAAATCAATTAATTTAAGTTAGGAAATCGTTTTATAGAATCTAAGATGTCACTTTTCCCATTTAAAAAAAGAAAAAGAAAAAAATCAAAAGCAGCATGTAAATAAATATTAAACTATAATGCTATAGAGTTAGAAGTCAAAAAGTTACAAGAATACTTTGTATATATGCAGGGTATTATGACCTGGCGGGGCAGGTCAGCCAAAACCCAAACCCAACTCGTGTTGAAGAATCAAAACCCTAACCCGACCCTAAAACCAAATATGTTGACCCTAAGGGTCAGGTCAAGCCAGGTTTACCATTTAACCCAACCCATTGGCATCCCTGCTCAGGATCAACAGAAGATGGAAACTCTGCCTGGGATAAATTGTTTTCCCAATAAAAGTGCTGAGACACTAAGCTTTTTTTCTTGGACACCCCAGCCTGGATAAGGAATAACACTTTGGAGTGGTAATTAGCTTGAATGTTAGATGCAAGATAGACTTCTCCTTAGATGTCTCATCACCAGGTGAGGGAGGCTAGATTGTTAGGCTATAGAATGAACATATCCTTCAGTTAGGTGAGAGAAACAGCCAACACACTTGTGGATTATATAGATGAGGGAAGAGTAAAGAAAATTTGTTTATATGGAGTCTCCCTGGAGAAAACAAAAGGATCCATTTTCCCTACAACAGCAGAGCGAGTTTTTGTTTGATCAATGGTCTCCAATCTTATACATAATTCATATCCTGTTAAGAAGTTCTGATAATGTTAATGACCAAAATAATAATTAGTATGAGATTTTTTTGACAGACCTATATTACTCACAACTCACAAGTAAGAGTCACCAACTTAGAGTCATAGACCATTTATCATATATGGAGTTCCTAGATTAATCATGTATTTTAACAAACCACTACATGCAAGTTCATCATCTGACCATGCATGGTATAAATCTGCTAAAATAGGGTTTGAGTAGGGTTTAATTCTCAATCACCTGACTTAACATGCGGGCTCTAAAAGATAACAAATAACAAACACCAATCATAAACTGAGGGTCAAGAACCAAGTGCATTTTCAAGCTTTCTATATATCATAAAGATTAAAGAAAATTCATGAATTAGGTCAAACAATATCTACATCATGAGAGCAAGCACAAGCACCTTGACGCCCATGGGATTCAACATTCTTTTCAGAGCCCAATGTTGGAAAATCTCCAGAACTCAGAGTGAAACCATAATCCTTGGATGATGGAGCTCCCTGCATGTGTAAGAATTAGTAATAAGCGGTCAGGCAATCAGGAAATAATGCCAATGATCTCCATGGATATTATGCTGCCATAGAAATTGTATATATTTCTGCAAGTAAATAATTATAATCGCAAACTAAAAAGCATAGTAAGAATATAGTTCTAGAAAATGATTGTTGAAAAATGATGAATACAAATTATAAGCTAGGTACCAATTTTTCTGCAGTTCCTTGTGCACCCCATGCAACTGAATTTTCAGATACTGGATCAGCAAACCGTGACAATTGAGAGCTACCAGGTCTTGTTTCAGCACTGCGAGGACGTGTTGCCACCATAGATGCCTGATTTGATGCCAATAACCCAGAGGCAGAAGATGGCCGAGAATTTGAGCCCCATGCATTGGGTGCAGGCTCATGGGATCTATCACTACCAGCTGTCGATGGCCGAGTTCCACTTCCACCAGAAGAAGGACGGCCATTAAGACGGCTCGGTGAACCAGCAATTCCATCTGTGCTAGGAGGTGAGAATGCTGTGGAACCCCATGCATTTGGTGCGGAGGAAGATGTTTGGCTGCCCCAGCTAAGTGTACCCCTAAATAAGTTGAGCAGGAAGCACAATTAATCAAGTTCAAGAAACTGAAAGCAGAATAAGTGACGCAGGAAATAAAGTGAAAGATCTGGAAATTTTTGAGAGGATTATACATGGAACAAAGCAATTAAATAGTACTATGGGCATTTTCCACCCAAAAGTGGAGCAGGAAATCCCATCAAGTTTTTTTGGGTTGATGGAAGCACCATCAAGTTCAAGAAAACGTAATTGTGCTTGGGAGTGGAATAGCTTGCACAACTTCCATCTCGAACCATAAACTGAAGACAGCAGATCTTGGAAGTGGAATAGCTCAGGAAGTTTCATAGTAAAATCCATGATTCATCATGGATTCTCCACAGCCCCAGACTTCCCACCCAAGCTCTGGGAACACAGGATCCCCTCCAATATAGCATCATAGCTTTTCATACTTGGATTGCAGCCCTTGGAAAATCCCTTAAAAAGATAATCGCACCAAAAGGGGAACAACCATGCCTTCACCCATTTGTGTTCTCTGCAGCCTTGAGATGGACTCTGATGGAGACAGTGAATCACCTTTTTCTCCACTACCCAGTCAGCCAACAGATCAAGGCCCAATTTCTCAAGAGTTTAATATAAGTTAGGTGTCTCCAAAGTCAGTAATGGAGCCCTCTAGAGCTGGCAGGTTTGCCTCCCCAATCCAAAACAACTTATCATTTAATCCCTGCTGCCACTCTCCAGTGCATTTGTATGGAGAGAAATAGCAGGATCTTCAACAACAAATATTCTCAGCTGGATGAAATATGCCGGAACATCTCTGCAAAAGTTATTTCTTAAGCAAAACTCTGCTATATCTAATATTGTATAGCTTTGGTGCTTACCATACTTTTGCTGTTCTGTGATCGCCTTTACCTGTATAGAACCTTACCGTATAGGGGTTTCCCCTCTTTTTGATAAATCAATACAAATTTTCCTTACCTTTTCTCAAAAGAAAAAACAAAGAAAAAAGATAGAATGTCCTCTGGGCATTTTCCAGTCAACTTCAATATCTTATCCAAAGAAGCTAAAATTCATTAAAAGGACAAAAAATACAAAAAAAGAAAAAACGCGAAAGGTTTACATGTAACAAAGCAATTGAATAAATGGAAAGTTGAAAGCAACAACTTACTTGGGGACAATTTCCACATTTGGATCTACACCATGGTTTTCCAACCTTAAAATAATAGAAAAAATAGAAGATTGATCAGATGATAGACAAAAGCAGTCAGTCAGCAATATTGTACAAAAATAATAATTGCCCTCACAAGAAGTTATTACCTTTGACTGGGTAAGTTAACAGGTTTTGGGACGGAAACTTTCCCTAAAACTGTCATACCCCCTCTTCGTGATGAAGAAGCCCACCTGCAAGATTTTAACACAGATATAGATAGCACAAAGTTAAGGGTACTGGCAGATCATACCATGTCTGCATGTGTGTGTGAAAGAGAAAGAACATTAACAATGTGTTATGGGGATGTATAGACTTTTCCCTTAATTAGGGGGGCAAGTTGGATACCCAAATGAAGAAATTACACAGCATTAGATAAGGCCATCGGGCTGGATCCATACAAGTTTTATCAAATGCTCAACCAAGACCATCCAAATTGCACCAATACTCTTAAGAAACAATGAAACTACAAAAAGGTACTAACTAACAATAGCATTTTTTTGAGCCTACTAGCAGTGCAAAATCCAATCCAAAATATCATAATTGAATGAACATTTAGTACATGATAACCTTATCTCCTTCTTGAGAGAAACCATTAAGGCTCTTTTTTAATTTAGATGTTCTTTTGTACACTCAAAGTAAAAGGATATAGTTGATTAGCAACCTTGTATGGCTGTATGTCCCCCTATATAAAGAGTCTCATCGTACAGGGGCTTGTTTTTGTATCCTTTTGCTTTTTGAATGAAATTCAATACTTCACAATTTCAAGAAAAACAAAAAACAACGAAATGGTGAATATATTAGATTTATACTACTTTTAACCCAGAATTCTCAAACTATAAATCAAGTAAAGGTCAAAATGAGAAAGGAGCAAATGTCAACTTTCAAACATCCAACTAGATGAAATCTTGTATATTTTTGTTGGGAATGGCATACTTCAGTCAAAATCGATCATGACACCAGGATGTGTCACATGTGTCCATCTCGTTAGGAACGAAGAAACTAAAAATTACGTTCTTGCATTATCAACAAGGATCAAGAGTCCATCTCGTTGGGACTCTAATGCAAATAGCTCCCGGTTGTGGGCTTTAGTAGCCCTATTTGTCAGGCTGATCTTTTGGAAGCTGAGATCAGAGCCCAATAAAAGGTTTAAGGGCTACTAAAGCAATCCAAGCTAGACCTTTATTGGTTGAGATATGATTCAAACACCATGATAGATTGGGCTTCAATGCTGAACAGGCCCATTGAGACTTGCACACTTCCTGAATGAGATCCAGGAGATTTCATCTGAGATCAATTGTTCTTTCAGATGGATTCCAAATTTCCAAGGGATTTCAATGCCTTGGCTGATTCTCTTCCTAAAATGTGGGAGGATATATCTATATCTTATAGTGCTAATACACTACCAATGTAAATTGGGTTGGATTTTGTAGTTTTTTTTCTTTTGTACTTCTTTTTTGTATATCCCCCCTCTTGCTCTTGAATGAAAGTTGCTTTCCTCCAAAAAAAATATATTGAACTGGACCAACTAAATCACATAAAAGACTGGTAAAAAAACTATAAACTCATAAAAGAGAAAACAGTGGAAATTGCAATTGTAAATCATACCTTCGCTTTCCAGTCAACATACTTGAAGCCATAGTTAAATTGTAGTTGCAAGGACATCAAATCGATCTGTTCAAGAGTAAGAGCAAAATGATAGAACAATTCCATTAAACAGTTGTTTTTTTTTCTGAAAAGATGGTAACAATTCCATTAGCCAATTGTAAATGGCAGCTAACTAAAAACAAATATTAAGCTTAACTAGTTAACTAGCAGGTGCATATTGCACATGTAAGAAGAGATGAATATAATAGGAAAAGAAGAAAATAAATGGTATCTTGTTTTGATATGAAGCCAAGGCAAGTATGGGCATTATTATATGGTAAAGGTGTCTAAGGACAAAATAAGAGAGGTCCAAAACGGTCAAAAGCCAAATAAAAAAGGCAGCCAACTGAAATAAATATTAACCAAAAAATCCTAATTCATTAAATTTGTTGACACAAAAATCAACAAACTTCGTGGTATTCATCAAAAGAAAATGCTCAAAAAGGATCTCACCTTCAGAAGTAGATTGAACTATAAATACTAGAACCATAACAAAAAAAAAAAAAAAAATCTGAGCCTCTGAGAATCACTCCAAGCCCAAAACACAGGTCAACTCTGCAAATCAGTTTATGAACATAAGTACATTCTATAACTTGAAAACTCAACAAGTTCAAAATATATGAATCAATGCCTTGGTAACAAGAATTGCCCCAATCTTTTTAACACCAAGCTGGGAGCTATATAAGCTAATGGGCTCGATAGTTGTCAAGGTGCCACCTAGGCAAATAAGACACCCTTGAAGGGTCACCTCACCCAAGCGCCTCTATATTTTGTCATAAGGTGTCACATAATGTTTTTATTTTTTATTTTATAATATAATAACATTACAATAAATATTATTACACCACGTTATTCATTTTGAAGATCTATTCCTAGGACAAAAACAAGGGCTCAGCCCCTATATTCTATGTTTTCTTTTCTTTCTTCATTTCCTTCTCATAAATATGCTGATTTTCTATGCTTTGAGCAAAAAAAAAAAACTATGTTGGGTTCCTTGAAAAATAAAGAAAATATAAATACTAGGATAGTTCCCTGCTTCCTTGAAAACTATGTTGGATTTGATTCCTGTGAAAGTGAAGCTATAATTAATGAAGAAGGCCTTCCTAGTCTTTAAAAAAATTGCTCAGATGTATCCTTGCACAGCCTTGTGATGGACTCCTTTTCTGGTTTGGGGATGTGTTCTGAAAAGCCCCCATCTTATTATTAATACAACCTTTTTTGAGAATTAATTGTTGCTAAAAAAAACATAGCCACTCTTTCACCAGGAAAAGATAGCAACTTTCACTTTTCTGTTTCAATATCAATACAAACAAATATTATGCCAGCATAATAATGGTAACCACAAAAATCCTCTGGAAATTACAAATCATGATGCTGCAAGGGTGGAGAAAAGAATGATGACCTCAAAAGGCTGTTGTACTGGTACTCTAAAGCTGGTGGCTGATCATTTCTTCAGATCAGATATCAATTTTTAGGAGATTTCCAACTACGGAAGAAGGTTGTTAGTCCCTCAGATACACTGGTACTTTTAACAAGCCTCTTGAACTGCTCATTCAGTCGGGTTCCTAGATGAGTTAGTGGTTTTTTTTCTTTCCTATATTTTTGCAGGAAGGCTCCCAGACTCGGGGGTTGATCCTTGATGTGATTGTATTGTCATTTTCTTTCTGTTCCATCCAGTATTCTTCTGTCGTATCCACATTTTTCTGATATCACGCTGTTTGCAGGTGTTTTTACTTCTTATCATTGATAAAATCACTTATTCTTATTGATCAGGAAGAAACTCAAATGGACAGTTTTGTACATTGTGTTTTAAAATACTTTTATATTGTTAATTTTTTATATTATAATTATAAAATAGCCATTATTAAACCAAAATATTCATTTTGTGCTTATATACTAATTTATTTTTATTATTTCCATATTTGTTAGGGTTTAATCAACACAGACATTGCTAAATGCCATATTGAACCCTCAAGGACTTCAAAACCTGAACAAATAAGTAAGGAAGAACTTAAAATTTTGTCTAATGAACACTTTTCCCTTTCTTCTTTTGTTGTAACAAAAATAGGTTTCAGCCCCTATATTTTTTGAATTTTCTTTTCTTTCTTCTTTCTCTTCTCATGAATATGTTGATTTTCTATACGTTTAACCATAGTTGTCAAGGCAACGCCTAGGCAACAAGTCACCCTTGGAGGCTCGGCTCGCCCAGTCGCCGTGAAGTTTTGTATACTGTGTGTAATAAAATATTATTCATAAAATAGACACTATTAAACAAAAATATTCATGTTTTGTGTTTATAAACTAATTTATTTTTATAAATTTCTTATTTGTTAGGGTTTAATCAACACAAACATTGCTAACTGCTGTATTTAACCCTCAACTTCTTTTCCTATAACAAAAATAGGGGTTCAGCCCCTATATTTTTTGAATTTTATTTTCTTTCTTCTTTTTCTTCTCATAAATATGTTGATTTTCCAGACTTAAACATGAAGTTTATAAATTTCTTCTGAAAATTATGGATAGTTATTAAAGAAATATGGTTATGGAACCTAGGGAACTACCCTAGGATATGTAGTTTTTACTTAAAAAATCCATCACCTAGGCAACTAGGTGACAAGGCACCCCCAATCACTTAGCCTAGCCTTGGCGCCTTGAAAACTATGCTTTTAACATGCAGTTATTACTTTTCTTATGAAAATTACAGATACTTATCAAGGAAATATGGCTATGGAACCTAGGGAACTACCCTAGGATATATGTTTTTTACTTGAAAAAAATCAATCGCCTAGGCAAGTAGGAGACAAGGCACCCCCCCCCTGTTTCCTAGCCTCACCTTGGTGCCTTGAAACTAAGGAATTAAGAAATAACTAGCCCATGGATGAGACTAGTGGAGATCAGGAAGTTAAAATAGATAAGCTGCAAGCGGAAAACAAACAATGAGGATGGACCTAATGGACACGAAATGTTAAGAGTTGGTTCATGTTGCTAGTCCTACATGATGGCATAGTTGTCGAGGTATATATACACAAACCTAGACAACATTAGAGCACCTCGCTAGTTGCCTAGGTGATAGATTTTTTTGCCCAACTGAGGTAAAAACAAACAATGAGGATGGACCTAATGGACATGAAATGTTAAGAGTTGATTCATGTTGCTAGTCCTACATGATGGCATAGTTGTCAAGGTATATATGCACAAACCTAGACAACATTAGAACACCTTGCTAGTTGCCTAGGTGATAGATTTTTTTTGCCCAACTGAGGTAGTCTTCATGCTTAAGGATATCTTGGAGCTTTGCAAGGACTTTGATCTAAAACTCCAATGCTCATGATCATGCAGCTCTTGGTTCTACCAGTCAGGGTGGCACCCCCCCCCTTTCTCCTCCAGTTTGGATGGAAAGTAGCCTTTTTCTTCTTCCATCACTTTTTCTCCTTGATGCTTTTTTGTTATGCAATGTTACTCTTTGGTGGCCTCTGGATCTCTGTAAACTCTTTGTTTCGCTTAATAAATGGTGATCCTTTCAACCAAAAAAAAATAGTTTATATTTTTCTAATTTTCAACAAATTGAAGATAAGTGTCATCTTTCAAGTTTACACTTTTCCTTTTTCTGAGTAGCAATTTGTGATTTATTTTTCTCATTTTCTACTACACCAATAACTAAATCATTTCACTGGTCAGGCAGGTATATAACACAAATGAGTTGTTGAAACACAGAAATTAGCCAATTGTTTACAGCTAAAGTTATGAATCATGATGGCAAGATTAACTTAATCGGCATCATATCTCTCTGCTGTGTAAAACATTTCACTGGTCTGGCAGGTATATAACACAAATGCGTTGCTGAACCACGGAAATCGGTTAATTGTTTACAGCTAAGGTTATGAATCTTGATAGCAAGACTAACTTAATGGACATCATATCTCTCTGCTATGTAAAATATTTCAATGGTCTGGCAGGTATACATAACGCAAACGCATTGCTGAACCACGGAAATTGGCAAATTGTTTACAGCTAAACTTATGAATCATGATAGCAAAGATTAAATTACTGGGCATCATATCTCTCGGCTGTGTGGACCAATACGTGCAAATTTTGAATAAATACATAGTCCCTAAGCATGAATTTCATGAAATACAACCAGAAGAATAAATAAACGATTCAAAAGCGACCAGTAACTGCGTACTTTTTAATAGTAGGTACCAGATATTCCAGGTTATAACTTGGAATGAATGCCGAAGTTGGAGGAACTCCTAAAAACGCAGACAGTAAACCACGTAAATATTAGTAAGACATTCAATACTTGGTTTGCTCTTCAATGGAAATTAAACAACGCATATGCACAAAGAAGGCGACGCGGACACATATGATCTTATCTCAGTTTTAACAAAAATATTGGTGACAGAAAAAAATAAAGACGAAGCCCCTGATTTCTATTATTAATGCAAATAAGCAAAAGGATGAGAGGAAGAGGAAAAGAGGGGCGGATCCCCTGGATTTTAAGCAAATACGGGGGAAAAAAAGAAGGACAAAAAATGAGAAGAATAAGAAAAGACAGAGGCGGGAAAGCGCCTGCATCCGATCAGAGAGAAAGAGGAAGGATATTGGGCGGAAACCCTGTTTTCGGCTTTCCTAAGAAGGAGAGGAAGATGATGGGGTGGAGCCCCTGTTTGAGCCTCGGGGAATAAGAAGAAGAAAGAAGAAATAAAGAGAAAAATAGAGACGTACCTGGATCTTGAATACTTGAACTGAGATCGATCGACTTCTCCTCCTCCTTCTATCGATTAAATACGGAGTTCTGTTGACTTCTCGGTCGGAGCTCCTTCCGTCGAGTGCTCTGCGCTCCAAGCCCTCGCCAAATCGAACCCTAGCCAAGTCGAACCCTCAGCAACATCTAAGAAAAACGAAACAAGCACGCATGTTTGTTATATAATATATGTATATAAGCTAATTATTCAGTGCATCAAGGTGTAAAATAAAACGGTAGACCAGTGACTAAAACGCCACCTGACCCTGGCCAGCAAACAGAGGATCCGTAGGGCACAGCTTAGTGGATGTTTGGAACCATGGCCGTTTTTTAAAAAAACGGTGACACGTCGAATCCACAAAGCCGTTTCAACAAACGCCAATATATATGAATGTTTGGTTAGGCGTTTATTGAAAAATTGGGCATGCCTCGTAAATCAGGACCCCACCGATGCATGAAACATGCTTACATGAAAATTTTGGCGTGTTTCATGCATCGGTGAACCGTTTCCCCCAAGAGTTGATTGATGTGCATCCTATGTGATGCTTACCTGTCAGCTACATGAAAAATGGTGATAAAAATCACCTTACCAAACAGCATAATGTTGCTCACTGCCTATGTGGCCTAAGTGTTTTTTTTATGAAAAACGGGTCTTGGAAGCATAGACGTTTTTTTTTTTTAAATCGGTCCCAAAAAGTGCCTATGCTTCCAAACACCATCTTAATTGTTAAACTAAGTATATAGTAAAAAAATTTAACAAAGAGGGTGTCTGGTTCCGCTTACGTTTATTCAGTAAACGTTTATTGAAGGTGCCAAATAGGCACCACTTTAGCATTTTCTCTCTCTCTTGCTCTTTTGCATGCACCGAAAATTTAAAAAAAAAAAAAGTCAATTTTGGTTTATGTGCATGTCAGTCGTTTGTGAAAATTATTTTTTAAAGTTTATACAAACGATCAAGCATTTTTTCACTGTGATGATGGTGTGAAACCTGATGCTAATTGTCATAAACAATCGTAATTATTATATTTATCGATTTTATCAACAAATAAACTACAAACATTTATTCAATAAACATAAACGGAACCAAACACATACAAAATAATTAAACTATAATTGTTTATCGGTTTGTCTTTTGGTGGAGGGGGAGAAAGTCATGTACGTACTGCACCATTCAGAAATAAAAATAGTCATTTTAGCATGCCGTTTAGTTTACCAATTGAGAAACTTGCAAATTAGTTATTCACTAAAAGACAAATTGATTAACAATTCATTTCAGCCAATTCAGTCATTATCAAATTTTATGTTTGTGGGTTATGCTTATGCCCGGGCCCTGTACTACCTTTGCATGAGTGTATTTACAAACATACTCTGTTTTTTAGGCCCTTTTTGGTTTTATGGGAATAGGGGTTTGGAATAGGCTATTCTGATTTCAACTATTTATTTGGGCAGAATTGAAATTCCATTCCCATCTTTGCTGGAATAGTATTCCCCCCTTTAAGGGAATAGTCATTCCGTATTCCTCCCTTGGGAATGGAATCCCATTCTTACTGATTCTAATTCTCATCTCCATTCCAACAGAGTATGGAAATGGATCATTATAAACCAAATAGACCTTTATTTCTATTTTGAAACCCCATGTTACATGTATAAATATCAGGGTAAATTACACGATCCCCTTATACTATGGATATGAGATAAAACCCCCTACACTTTTTTTGTGAAAAAAGACCCCTAAACTTTGGCTCTTAGACAAAAACCCCTCCTTAGTGTTCCATCAGTTAACTTTAGCCGTTGGACAGGGGAAAGGAGGAAAGAAGAGAATGGGAAGTAAAGAAAAACGGGAGACGAGAGAGAAAGGAGAATGACAGAGAAAAGAAAGTGTGAGGTAGAGAAAAATGGGAGAAGAGAGAGAGGAAGGAGAAAGAGAAAAGAGAGTGAGAGGTATAGAAGAATGAGAGAAGAGAGAGAATGAGTGAGTGAGTGAGTGTTGCCGCTGCAAGCGGTGGTGCAAGAACACGACTACAAAAGTAAGCCAAAAATTACCAATAATGCTTTCACAGTCACAGTCACATTAGAATCCACTACCTCACAAACTCAGGTATCAACTAATAGCAGTTGTAGATAGAAAGCCATGATTTCACATCACAGCAACTAATAGCAGAGTCATTCTTGATGTAACCGTTTTTGGTCACGTACCATTTTTTGTGATGTATAAATTTTTTGGCTAAGTACCTCGTTGTTTGACCCGGTGGTGACGCCTTGGTGATG